TTAGGGAGATTTCGAATGGCTTTCTCCTCGGCTCTCGTTTTTCGGTCCTTGGACACACCACACCGCCACACCGCTCCTTTCCATACCCACGCACTTTGTGCCAAGTCTCCTCCATCGTCGGGCCATAAATTTCGTTTTATTTATGAGCATTTAATTTTTGTAACATTAATTTAAACATAACTGCCAAAACATAAATTAGCTTCCGTTTCAACTAATTATGTCCGCCGCCGTCCCTCGTTTTTCGTGGCAATCGCTCAAGCATGAAAATTGTTGACTGCACAAAAGGCAACATCAGAGACACCCCCGCACAGCCGAAACCGCATAAATTTAAATGAATTCCTCGCTCCCTTCTCCACGTTTAGGGATTGTGTGAGCGCCACGTTTTATCTTTCCCCTCCGCGGGAATGGATGATATGGGGTCGTGTTTTGGGTCCACCCTGGAGTGGGTTAGTCGGTTGTGGAGGGCTGGAGTTCTTTAAGTGCCGTTACACATGCATCGGCACCGCCATCGCATGCATATAAATTTTGATCTGTTTTGCCGGCTAGCTTTTTGAACTGCCTTCAAATTAGTTGTTCATCCAGGCAATTAAACAAAATGTGCTGCAGCCAGGGATGGATTGAATACGAATGAATATATCCCTTGCCATAAGGATTATTAAATAAATGTTTTTAAATTGTTTAGTTTCTTAAGACAACCCCCTCTATATTTTTTGTTTAAAAATGTATATTACTAATTGTCATTTTATTATTGTTGTTAAAAACATAAATTCAGTGTTAAAAACTACAAAAATTATCTCTGGTTATAATCAGTTATTTAGTTTTTTGCTTAACTAGCCATGCTTTAATTAAAATTTAAATATATATGATTATTTCATAATATTAATCATAAAGATAATAGTGACTTTCCACCGTTTCAACTCCTTCAACAGATCCACTTGGCTGCCTTGGGTGCCCTGGAAAGCGAACACAAAAGCCGAATAAAGAAACACGGACAGAGACACGGCACAAACATAATAATCATAAATATATCAGGCAGCTAACTTTCGGCTTGGCATAATAAAATCCAATTAAAAACCAAAGAAAGCAAATGTTTACGACCTGACAGAGTCCAAGGGGCGAGGGACCGCAGAGGGGTTCGGGGAAGCCGAAAAGGGCTGTCTGTCTGTCGACGAGTGCATTGAGTTATGTTAATGGGAGGCAGAATGTCTGCGCCCCCACAAAGAGGAGCCCGTGTCGAATTAGAGTGTCTTTTTTGGTTTAGAAATAAACTTTGGTCCATGTTCCAAATTATTTCGTAAAAGGGTTGAGAAAGTAATATTTCTGATGCTGAAAGATAGCTGCATAAAAAACGTATGTATGAGAAAACCAAAGGATATTTATTGATATATTAGAATTTATTGTTCTAAACCAAGATTGCGAGCTAAAAATATTACTTTTAAGAAAACTAAATGATATTTTTTAATACATTATGGTCTTATGCTTTAGAATTAGTTAGTGCAAACATAAAATTATATAAATATAAATATAAATATAATTATTGATTAAGATAACTTATTATATAAGTAACCAACTAAGTCAAGTACAAGGGCATCCAAGAAGTTAACTGCGGATAATATTTTGGGGACTAAAGTTATTTTCTCCCCTCATTTGGACATAGACAAAACGGTAGTCAACAAGCACGGGCAGCAACAGCATTCATTCCCAACTAACACCACATAATTCACAGGAAATGACAAACAGCTGAGCTCGAGCCATCAGGGCACCCAGTTTTCCGCTTCCCGATTCCCTGCCCCTTGCCAAGTGTCAGCGTAAATCTTAAAATTCGCCGAGCAGAAAGTGTTGCCTTTGTGAAAATTGACTTGGCCAAAACCAGAGGCAGCAGCGGAGGCAGCTGACCAGACTTGGACTTGAAGTGGGTGTGCCGAGGTGGGCCAAAGGGGGTGGTGCTTTGCACTTTATTATTTATGGCTGTCGGGTTGAGTACGAATTCATTTTATTTATGAAGCAAGTCAGCCAAGCGGCCAGCCAAACAGCCAAAAAAGAAAGACAACCAAAAACGAATGGCTAACGGACAACTGTGGTCGTTGTGGCTTTCGCAGCTACTGAAACACCAAACCAACACAAAAACACACTAAAAAAACACCTTTTTTGCCCATCCTTTCAAATGGAATATGCTCTTGGTCCACACAAGCAGTGGTTAATGTGGTTTTAAGCCATAAAACTTTATTTTTATATCGAGCTCCAGTCGTCATAATAGTTTTTTCATATTGCATATGCACTTTTATCGATCCAAAATACAAAATCGAATCTTGTTGCGAAAATACTTACAAGTTGTTTATAAATATAAAATTAAAAAAAAATTGTATAAAATTAAAAATTAGATTATGTTAAAAAAGAAATAAATATACTGAGGAGTGTTTTTGTCTGTATTCAGAGAAAAAAACTCTACACAGATGAACATAATATTTTGATAAGTAAACCTAAAGTGTTAAAAGGCATTTTAATTTTTGTTTCAAGTAAAACTTCCGCTAGTATTTTCTGCGTATAAAAAGGTATGGTTTGTATAAAAATTGTTCGGTTTATTTCAGATTTAGATAAAATCATTCCACTGTACTTACAGTCAAGACTCCCCAAAGAACGTAATGCCGTCCGCAGTTGGCAACACTTGCACTCTGGCTCAGCGAGACAATAAGGCCACCCCTCTTCCTTTGAGTTCCTCCCCCGATCCCCGACTTTGGCCAAGCCATAGCAATTTTCGAGTCGGCTAATTAGCTATGGGTGTATTGTTTATAAATTTATGACGCATGTTAAATGGGTTTAATTTATTTATGGCACTTTGACCGCCCTTACAAGAGTCCAAGACCAAGACCTAGAGCACAGCCGAGTCGAGTGCTTAAGCTTTGGCCAATTGAATTTTCGTTTGTGAATTATGTTCATGAGCTGGCGGTTTGGTTCTGGTTGTGGCGTGATGGGCGGATGGGCGACACTGGATGGGGCACACTGCGGCAATGTTCTACATATTTGTGCGGTTAATTAGAGTCGCCTCATGGCGGGGAGTCACCCAACAAGAGACCCAATTAAAACTTCAAGTTGTCAGCTATCCAGCTACCAGCACCACTTTCCTCCCCCGCCGGGTCAAATGGCTCAATTATGCGGATCCAAGGGGACGCGGAGAAATCAACCCCGATACTGAAAACGGGAATACAAAATGTTGATAACTATCGTTGTGAGTATGGTGATTATTCAAAATGCATAAAACTCTTTAATGTGATTAGGGATAAGAATGGCTTAATTGAATATTTTTAGAGATCAACAGAAGTTTGAGTATATTCGCTATGACAATGGATATAGTAATATGAATATAGTAGGAAAAAGAAAGTTTAAAGTTTTAAAGTTTAATATAATACTTTCAAAACTGAATATTAAAATATTACCCTATTTCAGCAAGTACAAGAAATTGATACTGTTATAGATTTCTAAACTGTAATATTAATAAATGAACATTCGTTGTCAAAATATAAAGAATATAAGCAATTGAAGATAAAGTGTTGTATGTATGTGGGTATATGTTTAATTTAAATTTTGGTAAACAGCAGACATTTTTTTTTAATTTTAAAGTTTATTAATGAAAATTGTTTATCTTAGATATAATTATAATTATATCATTATAACATTATATCATCGTAACAATGAATTTTTTTTTTAATGGGAGTAAACAAAATCTGCTACCCATAACAAACATTTGAACACTGTTTTTTAGTGCCCATAAGTAGCTTAGTTTGTAAGTTAGGGTATTTTCCAAATCGATCATGATCCGCTTTGGGTTTTCCCACTATAAACGACTCCTTCCGAAGAAATTCGACTGTCACACCCAGGCGCCAGACCCGAATGATCAATGGCCGCTAATTAGTGTGTCCTCCGCCTCGGAAACTTTACACATGCTCATCGGCCAGCTGGATGGGACCCACTTCGCTGGACACCCCCATCCCAGTGACCCAAGGGGTTTTCAGTTACAAGTGCTGATTACGGCTATGCCTTTCCCTTGTTTTGTTGTTCTGGGTTTTTTGTCTTTTTTTTTGGTTTCCCGCTGCGGCCTCAGGTCATTTATTATGTGGCTGTTGTGGGGCGAGAGACTTGAATTTCAATCATGAGCTGTTGTTGCTGCCGCTGCTGCTGGGCCTTCGATTAGAAATTGCGATAATGTCCAATGGCGACAAAGTTTCCGATGCGAGGCGCCCAGAGAGAATGGCTTTCCCCCACTTTCCCCGCCATACATCCCATGTACCATAATACACCACATCCCTCATCCTCGCCCATGGGCGCCTGTCTGCAGTTTGTCAATGCGACGGCAGCCACAGGGCTTATCTGCACTTGGCTGCCACTAAATTATGTTTTATCTGCATCTGTGGGTCATCGTGTTACTGCCATGCACACAAAAGTACACATATGTAGTGTATACATATCTCCGACGCTGTTGTGGTCACTTTGATCGATGGGCCCGGAGCGCTAATGAGCAGCAATTAATAAAGCCATGGACTTTGTTGACCGCAACAATATTCCAGTATATTTCAGTGGACTCGACTGGAGTGGAGTGGAGTAAGGTGGAGTGGGCATTCGGGAGTGCAGAGAATAGAGTCATCCGGGGGGTGGCCACTGACCACTTGTCGGTGTCCAGCTGATTAATGCCCCGCCACGATAATGAGGTTTTGACTTGGGCCCGGGCCTTGGCTCGGGAATATGTTTTAATGCCCGTTTGATTGATGTCCAAGGCGAGTGCAAAACCGCTTAAGGCACTGCCAAAAAGTGAGTTCGGGGAAGCATTTCGTAGACAGCTGACTATGGGTGGGGGTTGGTTAAGTCTTGGCAACTAAGATAGGGTTGGACAAATTAATCAACGTAATTCGTAGTGTACAATGCCAAGTTCTGTACGGCATATTTATTTTAACATTAATTTTCAGAACCAAGAAAAAAAATTTTCGAAAATTAAATTTTAATTTAAAATTTGTTATCACAATTGTAAAGCTACTTTGTTTGTATAAGTGTACAACGTTTGTTTAAATATTTACAATATAATTTACATAATATGCACATAATTGTGTGATCAATTTTACTTTAAAGCTGGTAGTTAAAGATTTGCATTTCGATCGTGGTAATGCTATTCTGCTAGGAATAAGGCTTAAAAATTAAAGCCATTGATGGGCATAACCGCATCGAATTCAAGCTGAACGGGGGCCATCCGGCAGTCATCTTCCTCACTACCAAAGTACAACTTAATAATGTCGAACGATTTTTGGTAGATGTCGCGGTTTTCGTGCGCCTGCAAATACTCTATCTTATCTAGACCTAAAATTAAAAATTTAAGAACGTGTGATTTTTCAATTGAAATTGATAACATTTTACTTACCACAGCATTCCTCGATGGCAAGGGCATAGGGATTTGGCCGCGAATGGTGCTCTTCTCCCGCTTTTAAAATGTTTTCCAGAGCATTCAGTGCCACGAGGATTATGTCCGAGTCAAGGATCGTGAGAAAATCACACATGGGAGGCACACAGCCCACCTCAACTAAGTACTTGATCTGCTCAGAGGATCCGCCGCTGGTGGCATTGGCAATGACCAAAGCTGCCATTTTGCGAGTCTTGAATTCTGCCGTCTGCGTGATATTGACCAATTTGGGAAATAAGCTGGCATTTATAATGGCCTGAATGTGCTCCCGATTGCCGGCCGCAATATTACAGATTGTCCAGCAGGACTCTTCCTTGATTTCCTCCTTCGGCGAGCTCAGAAGTTGGCTAATGTGGGGCAGGGCATTATTGTCCAATATCACCTGAATTTGCTGATCCTCTCCGGTCGCAATGTTGCCCACTGCCTTCAACGCGGCTGTGCTTACGTTCTGCTGTGGATGTCTGCAGGAAAGAATCAGAAAAAACAAATGACCAGTATTAATTCACAGTATGATATTCACAATTTAAAAAAGGAATGCGCCAAGAAGCAAGACCAAAATGGATCGGAATTTATTTAACATATTCATTTTTTTTCTGTGTAACACTTACAGTAGTAGTTCTACCAGGCGATGGCCAACTCCCGCATCAAGAACGGTCTGGATTTGATTGTTCGGTCCATCCAACAGGTGGCCGATGGCCCTACAAGTATCAGCAAGTGCATCCGCATCGGTGAAGTCCAGCAATCGTGCCAGAATGGGAAGACAGGGTACGACTTTGGTAAAATCTACGGGCGGGTTTTTAAAACGAGTCAGATTGGATAATGTCCATACAGCTTTGCGGATCATGGAGATGCGCTCTGTGTTTGCCAAGGTCCTGGAAGAAGAGCAACAAAATTTAAGACATAGAAGAAGTTAAGAGCCCCGCTTTCACTCACTGCAGAAGATGAACTAGAAGTCCGCAGTCGAGCAGATGATCCCGGGACATTGAAGAGTCGCCGGCTATGTTGGCCAGAACCCACACAGCCTGCTCCTGGACTTCTGGACACTGGACCGAACTGGATAGCAGCTCAATGAGAATGGGCACTGCTCCGGCCTCGATCAAGGACCAGGTTTGGTGCGAATCACCCGAGGCAATGTTCGTCAGCGTCCAGGCGGCCTCGAATTGCAGGGCGGCATTCGAGCCACTCCGGAGAAAGGATACCAACTGCGGCACCAAACCTTTCCTGACTACCTCCTCGATGGGTGGATTGGGACCGTCGGACAGCAGCTTGCGGAGCTTTTTTGTGGCATTCAGTTGGTCGCTCCCGTGTTCGCTGTACAGCAGCTGAACTAACTCATTAGTGATTTTAGGATGGCCATCAATGTGCATGTCGGCAGTCTGAGAAGAAAGACTATTTGGCTTAGAATACTAACAGGGAAAGCAGGGCTTTCCACCTGCAGATCGTTGCTGGCGCAACTCTCCAATCCAATGCGTCGCTTAAGGAACTGCTCTTGGCGTTTTATTTTCCGCAATCGAATGCAGTCTCCTTCGCGACGACGACGCATCTCTATGGAACTCAATGCGTCATTTTTATAGAGTTGTTTGTGGGTGGAGGACATGTCGTTGTTTTCGCAATTCAAAATAAAGTCGTTTTAGAGTGGAAAGTTTTTTGATGGTAAATGAATGCCCTTGACTTGCATTTCTCAGATATTTTGATTCATTCCCAGTATCATTGATCTTAGCAATTGAAAAGATAAAAAAATGAGGATCAAATAGAAAATAAATTAGCTTATGAATGTTGATATTCATGATTAAGATTAATCCGGACTAGCACAAAACGGTTTTTTTTTATAATTAATCTTGATAACAATAATAGTACAGACTAAATATGTATTTCTGAAAAACATCATTGTAAAAAAGTTACCAAAAACGTGTAGTTTTAATTCCATAATTTTTTTAGCAAACATCCGATTTCAAAATGGCACATCTTTAAAGTATTGGGGCTTCAGTCTCTAAAACTCTGCGTTTAAAAATTGGTTTTTAATTTCGGGTCGATTTTTTGTCATTTTTATGATGTTACCCCTTTCTAATTCTCCGAAAAAATCGTCTTTGCAGAAAACTGACCAAAAACCTGCAGTTCTAAGTCCATAACTTTTCTTCCACGCATTCGATTTCAAAGTTGTATATCTTCAAAGTCTTGTGGCTTAAGCCTCTAAAAATTTGCATTTAAATTTTATTTTCAATGTTTGGGTTGATTTTTTCACGACATAACTCCTTAATTAAATTCTGAAAAAATCACCGTCAAAAAGGTGCCAAAAACCTGCAGTTTTAATTCCATAACTTTTCTTGCAAACATCCGATTTCAAAATGTCATATCTTTAAAGTATTGGGGCTTCAGTCTCTAAAACTCTGCGTTTAAAAATTGGTTTGTAATTTCGGGTCGATTTTTTGTCATTTTTATGATGTTACCCCTTTCTAAATCTCCGAAAAAATCGTCTTTGCAGAAAACTGACCAAAAACCTTAAGTTCTAAATCCATAACTTTTCTTTCATTGTAAACAGGAAGGGAAGCAAATTACGGTAAGCCGAATGTTGCAATTTTCTTGAAAACATTAAAATTATGATATACTTGCGTATATATTTAAAAACATTGAAGCTATGATGATTTGCTGCTCAATTATTCGAAAGTTCCTATGGCAGCTAAATTATCGATATCGGATTTTAATAAAATTACAAGCGAACTGTTAATTTTTTAATAAGTCAAAAATAATTTAAAAACAAAATAACAAAATTGAAACGTAAATTTTTTTTCAAATTGGTTTTTTTATAAATTTTTATTGTTCCCATGAATGCTTTAAGTAATAGTCGTGCGATTTTGATGAAACCTGAGCCGTAGTTCTGAAATATTTATTTAAATAAACTTCTTCACTTTTAAATATTTGTAATTAACATTTTGGTTAATTTTCATTCAATTACCAGTTGAGAAATAAAACCAAAAATAAGTAATATATTTACAAGCTAAATTTGCCTTTAAGGCCAGTGCAAAGCCAGCATGAAAGTTATTTTCTCGTTACATTCATTTTGGTTCAGCCTTTCCATTCTATTGCCCTTTTGTTGTCACCCTTTCCTTTTATTTATAAAACGCCCAAGGATAGGACAGCTGCAACGATTACCACGAAAAAAGGCGGATATAAATATATTTAAGTTATGTAAATGAAATGCGCTTTGCAATTGCTTTTGGCCGCTACCCTCCCGCTACACTGCGCCAAAGTACGTATACGAATACGTATATTTTTGGCGCAGTAGTTTTGGAACGCGAAGCGCGTGCAAAAATAATTTATGGGGGCCATCAACAACCCTTAGAGCTGAAATGATAGATGGCGTGCCAGGATGTCTGCCATCCAGCGAGAGTCGTACTCGTACTCGGACTGGAGCTGGAACTGAAACTGAAACAGAAACAGAAACTGAGTCTGTAACTGAGGCCAAAGCCAAAGCCAAAGCCAAAGTCGAAGGCAAGTTAACCCAAAACCCGAAATATGCTGCGGGCGCAATATTTTTCGCACTCACTGTCACCGAGGGGGGAGAAGTGGGGAAATCCCCGAGCCTTTCTCGACTGGAGAGTGTCGAGCACTTTTCGAATTGAAATGTCGTTTTGGCTGGCGCTAGAATTTTTCATTGCCAATTGCTGGCAGGAGTGGTAAGAGGCAGCTTGCCAAGAGCTGCCATATTTCTCAAGAGCCCGGCACAAATGTCACATCAATCTTGTGTCCAGCGTTGCGTAAGAAGTAAAGAAAATATTCATTTTGTTTTTTGCGCGTCGTCCCCCATTTTGGCCCCCCCGAAAAAATGGAATCAAGTCTTCTCGCTGGCTGCTTGCGAAAATGATTAATGGCCTGGCATGTTGTGCGAATTTTAAATGCAAGACAGCGAGTGCAAAGAGGCTAAGACAGGGGCAGTTGGCCAAGTATTTTATATTTTGATTGAATGAACTTGCCTAAGGCGCTCGCCTTTGAGTCCGTAAATAATAACGCCGAACAATGTGGCAGCATGGGACTTAAGCTTAATGCATGTTGGTTTAATTTATTTACTCATATATTATTTTCTAAAATATTAATTTATTTAATTTTTGTTGTTTCTCTGTATTTGGTATTCCTTATCTTAGAACTTCTGGCAAGTTGATTAAAAAATGGCCGTTTTAATTATCAATTTAATTAATTTAATTACTCGCTACCTTAAATAATTTATTTTTCTTATTTAGTATTATGTTAGCTAGAAATATCTTAAACTTTGGACTTCCTTAAGGACTTTTATACTTGCTGAATTAAGTTTAAGATTAGTTCCTTTATGTAATTAAAGTTCCCTAACGACTTTATATAACTTAATTACAATTTGTATTAAATTGATTACTCATTGTGCTGAAAGTCAAAAATTTAGCCAGCCATAATGCAATTAAACCGGGGCCCTCAACATAATTTGCCAAGGAACGTTGCTACACGAACACAAGTTATCAAGTCATCAAGTGAGGTTGCCACGCCCCCTTCTTCCTAAAAAACCATCGCAGACTTGACTAGACTAGCCCCCCCCACAAAAGTCCCCTCGACTTCCCTGCTCACCTCTAACATGGCCACAACGTCATTTGCGCTGCTTAAAAGTTGATTCGAAAAGTTTTACACCGCAACCGAGCGGGGAAAGTGGCGGAAAAGCGATGAAGGAAAGGTGGAAAATTTCCGAGACAGGAAGTGAGAGAGAGATCCTTGAACATACCGCCGTCGACGCCTCCGCTTTTCGTCCTGACACACACACACACACACACATACACGCAATTAGGCATAATCACCTGCACACACAATTAAGCAGATTCCCGCCAGAACACCTCACACAGATACTCTCGCACACATGCATCCCGAAACGGGCTATAGTATATATACATACATACTATAACCTGCCTGCAACACCGTCGTCGCCGTACAATTTCCGCAAGTCGTAAAAGTCGGTAATTTATACCTTTTGCCCCATATGCTACGGCATGGTAATTTGTTAAGTAGAGTTAAAATAATTGCTCGTATTTATAATTTACACATTTTGCCTTGGAAATTTATCGTCGCGCTGAAAGTGCGCTAGATATCACACACACACACACACACACACAGTGCAAAGTCCCCAAAGGAGGATCCTGCTCTCCAAAACACAACTGTAAAGTGGTGAAGAGAGGGGAGGGGTATGAGGTTTGGAAGGTCGGCCAACTTGCCTCCGCAATTTTTCGGTGTATTTTCCACTCTTGCGCTGCGCTCAAATTTATGGCCACAAGTTGCCCCTGCTAAACTGAATGAATGAGTAAGTGAGCTCCTGCTCCTGGCGATGCTGCTCTGTTGCTCTGCTGCAGCTCCTCCCTCTGGCAAAGTTGAAAGTTTTAGCCGCTATTAATTTCCCGCACCACCCCTTTTTTCGGAGGGGGGAAAACTGGGCTCAGACAACCTCTCTGTGGGGAATATGAATTGCAGTTGAAGAGATTTACAGGCCGTTCGAACGGGGGTCCAGAACGAAAGCAAAACAATTTGATTTCATTTGATAAATACTGGGTATGGAAAAATATGGCATTCCAGAAGATTTTTAAGTTAATCATACCTGTTTAAAAACACGCATTACTCAAACTCTTCATTTATTTTAATATTTTGACATTACATTTAACTTCCGAAATTCTTAAAAAACCTTTTGTTAAATTTTATACATTTAAACATACATTAATACTTTTAATGCTTTTATATGGCCTTACATTAATCATATGATAAAGGGTTTGAGGAAATAATAAGAGACAAAGTAACATTTAATATGAACCCAAGCCATGGTAACATTCATTTTCCGTCCAAATTACCAAGTAACTCCATTTTGCACGAAATTTCGAAAACCATAAAACATTGTGAACGATAAATTTCATTTTAATGGCTGGGGAATTGTCGGGGAACGGCTCTTTGCCCTCTCAGTCGCACTCGGTTACTTTGTGTGCTGGAAACATTTTATAAAACATTTATTTGCTTGATTCCTAGCCTCATTTCCGCCAGACATTTCGCACCCGCTTCGAGCCCCTTTCCCCGGTAGAAATTGCTACCCCAATTCGGCTGAAAAGATATATATTTTGTCTGCACTCCGCGCTCTTCCTTTTGGGGCCATAATGAGGCCATAAAAAGGGTTAAATAAAATGTGCAGCAATTGCTTTGCTAAAGCCAACGAGGTCTAGTGTACACCGCCCCCTTTCCCAATGCCAGCCATTAGGTTCCGACCACTGACAGCGAAAATTTGCCCGATTTTCGCGCCGTTGCTTAAGAATTATCGACGTCTTTTTTATTTGGCCGAGGAATGTCAGAAGAGGCGTTGCCTCCCGGTTGGAAAAGAGGAAAAGTGGGAAAAGCGGGAGGGACACAGAAATTACAGTTTGTAGCTACAAATTGCTTCCGTTGCAGGCACTTCGGGGCTCTTTAGATGGGTGGAGGGCAGCCCAAAATAGACACATCAATGAAATTTATTAGTTTGCATGTGCAAGTGCAGCTGGCGGTGGTCGGGATTTTCCATTTCCCGCCGGGCCGAGGTCTAATTCGCTTCCTCTGCCCTTCTCTTAAACTTTCCCCTCCCCCTTTCCCCATTTCCCCCCTTCCGACCATTGTAACGGATGTAAATTGCTGCTAATTTGCTTTGTACACTGAAATTAATGGAAACTGAAATGAAAGCCAGATCGGCGGAGTCCCGGTAAACATGATAAATGAATTCGGGGACTTAAATTATTCAGTAGCTGAGATATTCTGACGGTAAAACTTTAAATGGCAAATTTAAAATCCTTTATTTTAATATTGTGATGCTTTATTTTATAATGTATAAATGCATTCTGCTTATTTTTGGTTTGTCTTGTTTTTTGTATTTATGAAAAAGTATTTTCTAATTCCACTATAAGTGTATGCACAAATTTCCAAAATGCATGGAAACTTTTTTGAATTTTCCCCAGCTATTCATCCAAAAACGTACATGTAATTCTGCATAGTTTAATTCCCGGAGGCCTTTGATCTCGCCGCTCTCCTTTCACACATCTATGGGTTTATGATGCGCCCCATAAACACGACAAATGCAGCGAAATGAAACTTGAATTTCGGCTTCCCGATCCGCCCATCCACCCACATATAGCGTACACCCCCTCGTTACCTTTGGCTGTCTCGCTTTTACGATGCCTCAAATGGTGTGATAATTAGGTGAACAGACGTCTGCCAACGTGTGTCGGTGCAACATCAAAGTGAACACCGATGTCCCTTCCCCTTCTCCCTGCCACTCCCACACACGCCCACATTCTTATGCAGGTGGGCGTGTGCTTGACGGGTTCCCGCCCCTGTGAAATGTGCGATGACGAATTCCCAGAACTGTTTGTTATGTCAGTTTACAACTGTTGGGTATTCCGCGGAACTAGATTTAACAATACGATTCCGATGTTTGACTAGGCGTCGACATTTCGGATGTTTACATGCTGTTAGCTTGGCTTTTTATTTAACCACTGCTCCAGATGTTTACTGAAAAGGTCGCAGGTAGATCACAAATATCACGATCACCCTTGAAAGAAACATAAAAATAAGTATATTCAAATTATTTGATCAAATTAATTTGTTCTCTAGTGCTAAGTATATAAAATATTAATGAACACAGTTAATTGGAGAATTAAAATGAGTACACTCTGATTTTAACAATGAGGAATGAATATATCTTTTAAAAATATTTAAATATGTTAATATGATTTTTTAAACATATTAAAAACTATAATTAGTTATTATTATCAAAAAAGAATGATCAGTTCTCTGGTATTTTTTCCAAAAGAGTATTAGGTTATAACCCACTTTGCACCAAGATCTCAGCTTATGATTTATGTACCGGACAATCAAGATCAACCCTATTAGCCATAGTAATAGCAGAGGTGGAAACCTTGAAGCTGACTTCCCAAAGAAACCTCATGAACAATGTGGACTTGTCTGCCATATTTGGTGGCTCTTTCCACCTGCGAACGGCAAATAATGTTGCAGGTCAAATCAATTCAAGCGCCAACGGAACGAAACAGCGGTGTCAGCCACTTTGCAACTCGTTTGTTGCCCCTCGCTGATCCGTGGACACATGTTGCGGCATCGTGGCCGCACATACATATATCTATAGATCGCGTAAATATCTATATATTTATTTTTTCCAGCTGGTTGCAAGTGGCCGCCTGTCGCTGATTAACATCGCCATCGTCATCGCCACTCGTGTCAGGCTCCGCAGATAAGCCATCGTTCTCCCCCCACCTGATCAACTCCATGGACTTATCCACTCCAATGCAAGCCGGCATCGGCATCGGCATCGATGCCACAAATCATTGCCAAACATGATTTCTTATTATGGCCAGCCAAGGTGCGGCTGGAATTCGTGTTTGCCTTCCAGTTTGGACTTGTTATTTCTGATTTAAATGCTTGTAATTTTAATTATAATTAATTAGGTATTTATAAATGTGTACAGGTTGATTTATCCAACGGGATGCTAGATGATAGCAGTTACAATTTTGTGACGGATGACTGATAGCAACAAGTTTTAAATTCACTTTAACTTAATATGTATTTGTATTGGAAGTTATAAGCCAGATAAAAACATCCAAACTAATCAGATCCCCCCGAAGATGCATATCTCACCGCAAACAGATATATGGCCCTGCGCTTAAGTAAATATATCAATTTCGTTGATAATCCGAACGTGAAAGCTTCCTGCTGCGATCCCCGCCCCTCAATATGTATTTTCCTCTATCTTCTTTCTGCCCACATGGAGTGGGCCTCCGCTCATTAGCTGCTGCATTCGGAGATGCCGAACAAGCCACTTAATTTAAATTTAAATGTTTACTTCTCGCTATGCGTGTGTGTTGTGTGGGGCCAAGTATTTTGTCTGCGCTGCTTTTAGTGTTTATACCCCTCCTCAAACAATGTATCACTCCTTTATTACACTGCAAAAATACTGAGCTTGTTTATCACAAACAAGTTGTAATATTTAGTCTTAAATATTTAGTTTTAAATTAATAAAGTTTGCTTACGTGGTAGTACTGGTTTTAATATTTAACTAGTTGTCTTTTAAATTAATTAGGTCTTAGAAACAGGTTTTTAATTTGTTTCTTTTTTAATTATATTACTGATATAAATAGCTCTTACTGTCATTAATTTAAGTTCTCTGAATTCTAAATTTTATTTTTAGTATTTTAAAAGTTTTTGCATTATCACATGTACTTTTAGCTTGTCATTTCTGTTGTTTTCTATTTCCTATATTTAATTTCCAAAGCTTACACATTTTTTAGCAGTGTATCGTCCGCTCTGTGTCACGACAGGGCAAGATTTATTTTCGGTATTCCATGGGCGACTAAAATGCGCTGTCAGCGCAGCAGTTGCTGCCATACGTCGCCATCGCATGGCAATAGCTGTGTGGCTGTGGCTGTGGCTGTGTCTATATGGATATACATTAGCTGATGGTGGTCCGGAATCCGGAATAAGGGGATTGGACCCACAGAGCGATCGTTCGCCCTCATTGCACTTGACACCCGAAATTGATGCGCCACTGCGCCCAAGCCGGGCCACATTAATTAGGCAAAATATTGACACGCTGACGTGTGGTGTTTTCTATTGATTAACGCATCTCTTGGGTGTGGGTCGTTTTATTGGATTATTTCTGGTGGGATTATCGTGGGGGGATTGGTGTGGCTTAGTTTGGGTCTTCACTTGTGCATTTTGTGTGTTGGCTATTGAAAAGGCCTAGTGGATGGGCTTCTTTTCCGGCAGGTGGCAGGGCATCGATCTGGAGGCTGCCTTCTTTTTACTGCAGCCACGGAAGGGACGGAAGAGGCAAATGATCAGCTGCATGAAGGCTCCCCAACGCGCATGACCTAGGATTTGGATAACGCTTTCGTTTAGGCTACTTGAAACTGTCCAACCTACAATATTTTTGGTTCTTACCATAGTCAGGCGACCTGCACTTCCACTTGACATTCGTTGGACTGAATACCTCTTCCTCCTTATCCACAATCATCGAACTGGTGACCACATTCGATTGCAGCGATGCAGATTCCTTGGAGCGGGAAACCCTTACCACCTGCGGACTGCGTTCTGGTACCACGTAGGTGACCTCAACGATGCCCGAGCTTGTCTTCGAGGCAGGACCTTCCTCCGATTCCATGACGTTGGCGCTGGCAAATCGGGCACAGCTCTCCGTGGACTTCTTGAGCAGGAACCAGGATTGCTGAAGCACATGGCCGTCCTCGATCAGCTTCTCGTAGCCCTTCAGAATGCGGCGCACATCCACGTTGAGCAGCTCCTCGGGAACCTCGGGCAGATCGCCAAACTCCTGCAAAGATATTTCATAAAAATGGAAACAATAAGACTTTTACACATATATTTTGTCAAAAATATTAAGCAACGTCCTACTTTATCATTTATCGGTATTATTTTCTTATTTCAAATTTCGCCAAAGTCTAAAAAGTTAACCTAAATACAATACAAAATTATTTTGGTATAACAATTAATTTATACAAATATTTGGAAAAACCACTGGACTGGTGAACTTTAAACCACTTCAAACCGCTCCCAATAAGATAAAACGCTAGTTATATAATTAATTTGGATATATTATTTTAATTTTAATAACACCAATGGCGTTAACATTTTAGATCTTACGCCGAATCAGCCTCAAAAAAATCGTACATAAACTTTAGGAAATTTTGAAAGGAACCCAGTCACACATACAGAATCTATTCGGCGGCGAAATTAGTCTATTAAATATTTTTAGGTTAAAGAGGTTTGACTGTAGATATTAGCTAGGCTTAGTAATCCTACCTGCGATGTCTTGCGCAGATCCTCGAAGCGATTGATCAGTTGTTTGATGTTGAGGTTGCCCTTCGATCCCTTGGTGACCCCGCCACCTGCACCCAGGGAAGGGTCTGGGGCTCCACTTCCCTCCGGCGGAACGGTGGACACTGGCTCGTCCGCAACAGTATCCATGTTGGGGGAGCTCATCCGGCTGAGCATCTTGGCGGTCTGCTCCATGAAGGTGGCCTGCCGATCGCGAAGCTCCTGCAGACGCATCTTCAGCTCGTCAAGGTAAGCCAGCTGGCGGGGAGTGGGCTGCTTGGTTGCCATCGTGAATTTGGAGTACCCAGTTTCAGAACACTGTCACTTCGAACATCTGAGAGGGTCCCAAAATGCAAAAGTATTGGGGGTTTTTTTTTTGGGTTTTGGGGCTGGTTTTGTGTGTTGGGCTTGTAGGTCCTATTGTGTTCTAATGAAGATGTCAAGGGGTTAAAACTCTGCTTATTAAGAGACTGGCAACTCAGTCCCCGCCTACTTCAACGAGCAGTGGATAGCTAGTTTTTTTTTTATGTAGGCATTCTTCGACAAGAAACATATTTTTTAGCCATTTGTCAAATATCAAGTCGATCAGATTTAGCTTTTCTTGAGACTGCTGTTATATACCACCAGAAAATTTTGGGGTCCCCAGAAAGTATGCAATATTTTTACGACCTTACGTTAGGACTCTCAAAAAATCCATAAAGTTTTTATAATGAGAGATTTAGAGACAACATGTTTTTAAACCTTTAAATAATCTTGTGGCATATTAAAAAGTTGTCTTTTTGAGATCTTGGATCAACGAAATTATAAAAATTTGTAAGGCCCCAACATCATTATTGCCTCAAGAGTATCTCCTGCTCGTTTAAGTTTATTTGTGACCACCGCTTTGGACATGGCCTATTACTCGTTATTTTTATGAGCCCCAAATTGAGATATCGCCAGCAATTCTGTCTGAGCTAACTAAGTTGTAACTCGCCAACCCGCTGCCGCACGAAACCGATCGCCATGCCTCCCCCGACTTTCATCCGCCTGTGGTTGAACAATGGGGCGATGGGGCAAGGACAAGAGGCTATCCCAGATATACCTATATATCTTCGGTTTAGCCTCTCTCTTGGGTTGGGGCTAGTTTGGAATTTCACGGAGGAAAACGTGCCGCTGCCAACGGCTGACGCCTACAATGAAGAAAAGGGGGCGTGTCGGCCACTCTGTGACTCCCAGACTGCTGTTGATTTCCCCTTGAGGTGGGTTCCCCCTCCCCTGGACCACCAACCCCCCATCCTGCCATTTGGATAGTGTGTGCAATTGTTGTTTTCATATTTTAATGCCTTTTTGAGTTGGTAGGCGTGCCACGACACGATTCTTCTTGCCGATAAGCTGTTATTTTTATGGGCCCCCGCCGAATCGGATCGACTTGGAGTGGAGTGGAGCTTGGAGGTACTCGGTGGTGTGGAGTGGTGCAGGGTGGTGTTCGGTGGTGTGCGGTGTGGGCTGGCTGCCGACTTAAAGAAGTTAAAATTATTACACCGCAATTGTCTTGATCGTTGATTTATGTGCGCTTTTGTTGTCGGCTCTCTTGGCTCACGGCTTTTTGTCTTTTTTGTTTCAGTTTTTTGTTTCTTTTTGAAGTTGCCAGTTGGCCAACAGGCAAATTTGTGTGGCTGTTGATATTTATTGGGCATGGCCCGGGCATTGGCATCAATTGTGTATGCAATATGGGAAGTTGATTATGCCTCTCATTAGCCACCGTATTTTTTCATTGTGCACGAAGTGGCGACATTCCCATGGACATGAAATGGGTCCTTTTCGGATCACTAAGCTCCTCTGGATATGCGAGAATAACTAAAAAATATGGAAATTGATTTGGTTGAAAACCAAAAAATTATAAGATATTGAATAAAGGCGAGCTGTCAAAAATCGTTTTTATTTTATTAGTCAGAAATTAGTTTTTAAGATGTAAGCGGAAATTTTGAATGATCAAACCATTTATTTTGCTTTGGTTAAAAAAGAATCAATTTGACAACTTTTTTTTTTAATAGAATGTAAAAGTTACAACATATTTGCGAACTTGAAGAAAATTAGTAAAAAGACTATTTTCTTTAAATAATCTGTCTGAATTTTGTTGCCTTCCAATTCGAGTCACAAAAATGTGTTTTAAACAAAAATTAAGAAGTCAAAACTTTTCAACGAAACTTCCTCATTCTCGGCTTGGTTACTTAAAACCTTTTAGTATCCATTTCCTAAGCGTTTTAATAATCACCATTTTCACAACTTTTGGGCATTCTCTAATTGAGTTCTTGATTCGGTGGCACTACTTCCTCCTCAAAATTTTTTCGGTGAATGTCTGGCCTGTGTCATAACAGTCTGGGCAATACCATCGCCTCCTCCCTGCCAAGCCCAAACCAACCCAACCCAAAGCAATCGAATCCGAATCCGATCCGATCCGATTCGAGTCCCATTGTGCGACTACAGCACGATTAAAGCCAACCGCATTCGTAGCCGCCTTCAATTGCCTGCAAACTTAATGATTTCATCTTTCATTGAATTCAAATTTGTTTCCCCATCGGGCCCCCACGATGTCCGAGTGCGATTTGCAGCTGTGCAGGGAGCACGACTCCATCTCCGGTGTTTGGGGTCTCCATCGCCATCGCCATCGCCAGTGTTTGGGGCTGCTGAATGTGGGCGTGCCTCCATCATACGCCCCTGGAGTTATTGTCGTTGTTTTTCTGCACCGTTGATAGCCACCGCCGCCGCCGCCGCGAACTTCACTGGCCGAGCCTCGAAAATAACGAATTTATTATTTATTTCACCTGACAGGCCGGCCAACAGACTCTATAAATTTCCCTAGCCACTCCAGCTTGGAATCATATTTATGGCCCCATCTGTAACTTTCTGGCGATGCGCATATGAAAACGAAATTATTGATAAGGCTTGCATGGCCATGCCATGTAGTATATGGATGGCATGCCCTTATTTCTCAGCTCTGATTGAAATACCGCTTTCGTCTGGCACTGCAACAGCTTCATTTGGACAGCCAACAAGCAAGACAACAAAAAGGCAGAAAACGGAGAAACCGAAAGGTGGAAATCAGCTGCAGCAACAAAGTTTATTGGCAACACACACAAGGAGGTAGGAATAATAAAACCTTAACCCAATATCCTGCTTATGGTCATAATTTTTATGCTGCTTCCAGCGAAGAAGCCAAAAACTGGAGATCGACCGCCTGGGCTCAGCTTATTGCAGTTGCTCCAGGTCCAGGTCCAGGTCCAAGTCCGGGGAACTTTCCCTCCAATCCCCAATCCACAAACCCCAATCTCCAACATGCCGCGTATTTCATTATGAATTGCTCTTAACGATGTTCCATTTTTCATGAGCGCATTCATAAACCTTTTTCTTATTTTCGACTTGAAGCGGATTGTTGTTTGCATCTCGCCGTTGCGTTGCCACGGAAAAAGAGGAGATGGAGATCCTGTCTGGCGGTTTGGTTACCGCCAGCACTCCTTCAACCCTCCGTTCCTCCGCTCCGGTTAGCAAGTGAATGAATAATTGCACCAAGGTGTTGTAAGGAGAGCTCTTTCCTGTCCGGTACAGTGGTGCGTAGTGATTGTAAAAATATAGAGCCCAAATAGTCGTAAATTAAATACAGAAGACTATTGTATTGTAATATTTATTTTTCTTAAAATTAATCACACACTTTATGAATATGTTTTAGAAAAATTAAACAACTTTCTCTAATTTTAATTAAAATTACGATAATTATTAATAATAACAATTGAAATATAAGTGGCTTACTTTTTTGTCTACCTATTTGTTGAAACTTTGCCATAATCTTTTAAATATTTAAATCATTTTAAATCTTATTTATGCAATCAATATTTACCACAAATTTCTTAAATATTTGTACAGAATTCAATGCCGATTTTTATTAAGTCGTAATCCTTTCCTATTTCTAATCGCATTTATGATTGACATTTCGCTGAAAAATATTTTAACTAGCTTTGCTAAAAGTAATTTTTCAAATGCCAGTTAGAGGCCCCTAGGGAGACTTTAGCCCCTTGCAATGCCCTCTGTTTCCGCTTCCTTCGTTCCTTTCCGTTTTGGCGAAAACCAATTCCCTTCTACAATTCCGCGGCTCTTTGGCCAAGAGTCTTGGGCTCTCAGCTACACCGTAAAAAAATAAATGTACTTATTTTTGATTTCATTAAAAAATCTTAATGTGTCGTAGATTATTATAAACTTTTTGGAAAAATGGGTTCCTTTAACTCGCAAAGATAACTTTCTGTTTTTTCGTAAAGGGTTCTTATAATGCTTATCCTTAAACATTGTGAGAAATATATATATATTATTTGCTAAAATAAATATAATTTAACCATCCTTTTTCAGGTTTTACTTAAATAAAATAAATTTGGAAATATAAAGGGTGTATAAAATGGATCTTGAAAAATATGTTGTTGACAATTTTCTAAACTTTTAGAACAAAATTGTAATCAGGGGGCTGTAAATATTTTAGCATATGGTATTTTTGAACTTATTTAAATTTATGACAGTGTATAGAAGGGTTTCCTTGGACCGGATCGGCTCGGGCTGCTGTCAAAGGCGCAGCGGGCAGTCGTAAAATCGCGGCAAACACAATTGAAAAACGACCGGGCCGTGGGAGCGAGACGGGGCTAGGCGGTGGGAGCGGGAGAGGGCGAGAGGGGCGATGGGTGAGTGAAGGAGTGCGGCGGCAAACACTCCACACTTGTCAGCAGCGGCCTTAGCCGATTGTGCCGGGTCCAAGCCAGCACCAAAGCAGCACCAAAAGCAAAGCCAAAGCCAAAAGCACCCCCCTTCGACGCCCCTGACTCACGCTTATGCTCACAAATCATAAATTGCCGCCTTAAAATTTATCTTCAATTTTCGAGACCCCATGTGGTGCTTAGCGAATGGTGTTTTGAAATTTATTGCTGCATTTGCAATAAATATTGTCAGTTGAGTCGGGCCAACAGAGTGGAAGCGAGTTGGAGCGGGATGGCCATAATGGCGGCGTTTGCTTGCTTTTTGCATGATTGCCGCTGTAACGCCTCTGCCTCCGCCCCCCTCTTGGTCACTCCGCCCCTGGAAATCTCCCATTCGGTTGGTTCCTGCTCGTCTCCCCCGGATTGTTTATTGTTTTCGTGCATATTAATGTACGCTGATTGCGGGCCATGGTTAGCTGAGAGGGGTCCTTCTGCCGCAGGGGAATCCCCCCTCTTGGCAGTTAGCAGCTGCCGTGCTGTGTCCTTTCCCCCCTCCCCGGAGGTACTCCCACTCCGCCACAATGATTGTTAATTTACAGCGCGAGAAATTGATTGCCATTTTGTTAAGATAGTGTGTGCGAAAGAGCGGAGCTTACAGGACTCGAGGGGCGGCCCAAAGGGAAAGTGTTCCGCAGGGGTGTGTCCTTCAATATTTGCCCGTTAATTGTGGTTCCCTTTGTACT